TTTTTTTCATATGCTCGCCATTTTTCGAACAAGCAATATTTTTTAAAATCCGTATGTAGTCTACTAGTTTATATCCTACATTTGAAGAATTATTTTGAATTTTTCTTCCAGGATCAAATTTGGAGTCACAGGCGGTTCGCTCGCGGAAAAAAGTCGTCGTAAAGCAACGATCGTGGAGCCGCCATTTTGAATGAAAAAATTATGAAAAAATTATTTTTTTGTACTTCGGGGGACACATTATAAACTGCTTTTTACAAAAATTCGATTGCATTTAATGTACGCTCAAAAAAAAATCCCGAAATTGACTCTTTTTTTTTACGCACAAGGTGGCCTTACCCCTTAAGTAGTAGGACGTGTGGAATAGCACATAATATCATATATACATTGTATATAGCAGAAATAAAAGATTAATTTTAAAACTTTTTTTGTTCATAACTTTTTAACGAAGGACGAGCGACGGCTAAAACCTGTTGGAGGTTACTCAGGGTCACATGACCTTGATAACATATGTCAAGGTCAAGGTCATCGGTGCTGCCTACCCTATTCTAAATAATTACCTTATTATTATTATTATTATTACCATCATTATTATTATTATAACATTATTGTAAAAAGCTCTTATAATAACTAGTACGATAATGATGCGTACTGGACTGTATTCATTGAACGGTATCTTGTGCTCCCAACGCGGTACGAATACGTATGGAGCGCATATAAAGAAACGTTTTCGTTCATATCTAAAAAATGGATTTTCGGAACGTGATTTAAATACACATCGTTATTTTCAGCGTAAAATTCTCTTTAATTTTCGTCATATAAAGAATTAAAAAATTTTTGAAAATTAGAATGGAGGGTAGGGGTATACAATAAATGTATGTAAAAAAAATTTTTATTATTATAGTTGTAAAGTACTCTTGCAACCATTCAATTTTTATTCCAGAAATTTTTTTCTATTATTTATAGTTTCGAAGATATTCGCTTCGAAAGAAAAAAACCGATTTTATTCAAGGGAGGATTTAACCCCCTTAACATGCGACTCCGCACGTATAAAAAAATACGTGTCTCTTATTTTTGTCTATAGAACAACATACTAAAAGCTCATTTAAATCGGAGAGATCCACTTGGTTGTGTTCCCTTGTGAGTTGTAAGCTGCGATAGCAGATATTGTTAATGCTAATTGCTGATAAGTGGCGAATGGATAGTTACTTCAAAGGAGTATCGATTTACGGGAGCTTAGCGCGTAAAAGGTGTGCATCAGTCGGTGTGTTTAATAAGCATATTAGTGAGAAAATGTCTTACTCAAGATAAAGCAAGAACTAGTCGCCGTGCACATACATGAAACCGTTAGCAGTACCGCGTGATTCCATTCGAAGCCGTTCCCATTGATCGCGACTACCCCTATACCGAACAACGACAGACAAACGGCCGCGACGATCGCCTGGATTTACACCAAGGCGACGTTTCTGACGATCATCTTGATGATCTCCCGATGGTTGTTCATGTTGCCTAAATTTGCTTGTGTGCATAACTGCGATGCCAACACATGTCGAGATTGCCCTTCAGATCCTGCAGCGCTGTAGTTAAGATCATTAACTGAGGAACTTCTACAAAAGCGGCCATATTCTGGAATCAGATACATTCAGATTAGAACATTTATATGGACCGATATTCTATGATATAGAAATAAATTTATCATTACTTTGATTGACAATGTAAAACCTAGAAGAATATTGCTACGTTGAGAGAAAAGTGATACATGAAACATAATAATAAGTTGCTTATACTTATCTCATGATAAACATATTGTTGACAATTTGATTTGTCACCGTTTGTTTTAAAGAAGGAAATTTTAAAATATAATACTATGTGCACATGAAATTGTGATAAAACGTGATTACTTAGTTCTTAGTTAATCGAAAGATTAAGGATCAATTCTTTGATAATAACGTATATTACCGATCACCCCTGTAATCTTTGTCTGAAATCTACATGAGATCCGTATTAAAAATGTAAACGTCAAGGTGCTTATACAATCGCGTCAGATCGACATCAAATCCTACATCCCGCTATCAATAAAATGGATCGGAATAATTAATATTCAGGAGAATACTAATTTCGACATTATCTTTGATAATAGTAAATTATTCTTCTACCTCTTTTTGTACGAGGATTGATATTTCTACTAAAAGATAACGTAAAGAAAAAATGAAAAGAAAAAGGATAAAATGGTTAATGACAAGTGAAGCGACGTTTATTAACATGTATGCTGAAACAGTAAAGCGAAACGAAATCAATTGCGCGTATATTAATTGTATCACAGAGATTATCTCTAATGGCCTAGCCAGGAAATATATTTACAAATGAAATCGTAAATGTTTGAATTTGTACGAAGGAAATGCAGGGGAATAAAAATTGGCGAAAGGACAGTCAAATCTTTTGTCTAATTCTTCGAATTTTTTATTCAACAATCTAGGATAAAAAATAGCAATAAACTGACTTTTTTTTTACATCCAATTGTTATATAATTTTAGCTTTCTTCTCTAATAATAACTTAATAATATACTAATATTATAATAGTTTCAAAATAATAATAATAATTTATAATATAATGTATATATATAAATTTATCGATACTCGAGGAAACTCCTTTTGTAATTTTTATTCAACCTACAGTTTTCGTTACGCAGGCCTGTGCAATTAGGCGTACGACGAGAAATCCAAAGTTCGCACTTTATTACAGAGCTAGCGAAGAAATTATTTCTGTAGACTAACGAATATCGTCCAAAGATGAAGCCCAAAAACGCCAAAAATTACGTGATATTCTTCGCAATATATAATATTAGAATAAATTATCAAAATTAGATTTCATATTGTAATTTGACTCTTATTCGCCTTATTTAACGTGTGAATTATTATTAAAAATAATAGAGTCCTTTAAACCTTCAATTCAAAGACAATAAATTTTTTTCAAATTGAAATAATCCAAAGGTACGATACATAGACTACTTATTATAGTTTCACGTATAATGTCACAAAATTAATAAAAAAAATTATACTGCGAGATACCGCCATATAAAGGCAATTATTATTTGGATTCAATCATTAATACTGATTTAAATTAATTTAACAAACAAAAAGAAATGAAGGTAAATAATATTATAGCAAATAAATTAATTTTCGAAAATGCAACATACATACTGATAATTAAATTAAATTAATATACGCTCAAATAAATTTCCAAATTAAACTTAATATATACCTCCCAGCCAAATTGAGCTATACTATAGAGAGTTGTTAGAAATATATATAAATTTATTCCAAACAACTAGTATAGCTCAATTTGTTCTTGACCTAGGAGGTATATTAAGTTTAATACTGATAATTATTTAGAAAGTACTGTTATTATTAATTCTAGCGACATAAAAAATAATTTCTCATATTATAATGGAACAGTTAATTGAGGATAGCGCGCGCTTATAATGTGCTAGTAGTGTTCAAATATTAAACAAGAATGAAATAATGCTCGTGAGCGTTGAGAACATTAAATAAAATACGTGCATAAAATTTGAAATATTCGTAATTCCATAATTAGCATAACCTTTAATCTTTCCGTAGTTTCCGCGAAACAAACGCTCCTACTACTTGAAAAGAATGAGGCTAGCGACTTATAAAATTTTTTTCACCAAGTTATTCAACGTTGTAGCAAAAGGGTTATTTTTGCTTCAACGTTGAATAACTCGGTGAAAAAAAATCGTACGGAGCTTCGTAAAAAAAGCAAAATAAAAGTAAAGGTTCGCTCTTTCGAATGATGCATTTGTACACAATTTTTATTTCGTGCGTTGAAACTTCAAATTTTGTAAAAAATTTTTAGGTTTTTGACACACTTTTATTTATGTTTGTGTAACTTCACGAAATATCAGTAAGACCGTTTTTTGAAGTACCAGTCTGAAAAGTAAAGATTTCAATCTTTAAAATGCTTTTTTAAACATCTCGATTCGACGATTTTTGACGAAGTTATCTTATGTTGAAGTTCGTGTGTAGCTACTGAACAATACATATATATTAGATATCAGGACACGCGATAGTGTCTCCGGTCATGTTCAAAAACTGAAATACACTACAAGTCTCTTATCCCGAGCCACCAAAGTCCATTTTTTGGGGGTGCATAGCTATTAAATATAAAGAATTTTGAATCGAACGTAGTATGTCCTAAAAGGCGGCTATAATATATACATAATACAATACAGACAGGACTTCGAGACTGTCGAACTAAAACTAATTTAAAATTAGGACCTCTATTCACTCGTCACTACTACTTCAAATTGTGACGTCATAAGCAAAAAATAGATAATAAAAATTGTAACTATTTTAAAGATTTTGATATTGCCTGCTACAAAAACGCATAGCCGAACGAGCAATGTCCGAAATAATTTCGTTCACCTAGTTCTTCGTTTACGAACTTTTTTTTTTTTTTTTTACTACCCACTAAAACCTCACGAGTGTCCTACCTGGCGCTCAAAGGAGGGGCCGGGAGGGCTCTTGAATGCAATACTCTCCTCCCGACCCCAGCCCAAAAGCACTGAGCGCTACCTACCTAATTTTGTGACGGAGGAGGACACCAGGTTCCTCCGTCACCAGCCCTTCGTCCTGTGCCAGGGACGGGGAGTCTCCCGCTCCCCGCCCCGCAGGATTCCGGGCAGAGGGGCGTGGTATCGGCAGGGGGACCGGAGAACCGGACACCCATGCCGATCATCGGCAGGGGGAACCGGACAACCGGACACCCATGCCAACCTCACGCCCCCCGCTACTTCCTAGAGTGCTTTTACGAGTACATGTCCATGATTAGTCACATACAATACAATACAGACAGGATTTCGAGACTGTCGAACTAAAACTAATTTAAAATTAGGACTTCTGTTCACTCGTCACTACTACTTCAAATTGTGACGTCATAAACAAAAAAATAAATAATAAAAATTATGACTACTTAAAAAATTTTATCACTGGACACGAAGACCGAAAATCGAACAGATAAAGTCCCAAATATCTCTCGAGATATTATTATTGATATCTGAATACGATGGAACTCCTCCTGAACTTGGAAATCTATCTTCAATCCATTGCTTTATTCGCCTGGAAAAAGAATGATATACATGTAATACAATTTTTCATTAAATATATAGATTTTATTAAAAAATTGCAAATTACTCGACGAACGGTGTCACCATGGAAAATTTATATCCACTAATGCCCATTTTCAAAAAAGAGGTCCAGTCACATATCGAGACGGGTAAATCCTCTATAGCGAACCAGTCAACATTCATTATCTCTTGCTGCGTTCGTGGTTGAAATAATGTACTAGTTCGCACACCCCAAATAACATATAATCTCACAATTTTTCCTTTTATTGTAGATTCTATGTAGTCGTTTGGATCTATCATATTAGTTATATCAAAACCAGTCTCTTCCCATACTTCTCGAATAGCACACTCATGTGGCTCCTCATCATAATCTATTTTTCCTTTAGGAAAACCCCAATTATTGTTTCCCCCGTAGTTTTGCACCAGAAGCACCTTCGTCTTAACTTCATCCAAAATAATTGCTCCAAACGTAGGTAAATTTTGTTTGTGCCATTCCCATTGCTGAAGCAGAGCATTAATTTGCGGTACATGCTTTTCTAAATATGATAAATGTTGGAATATATGAGTGGCAAATTCCCCCATGCTACACTTTCTCAGCTTCAGATATGGGTCTGTGCAGTAAAAGTCAAGATAAAACCAATATGCTTTTTCGATTTTAGAGCAAATTCGCATCAAATCATTTTTCTGCTCTTCAAGTAGATTGATAAATCCCCTACAGAATAATAATAATAATAATATAAAATACAAAAAACTGTATAAAAATATATATATATATACATAAAAGAATAAAATTATAATGGGCTATTCTGGAGTCAGCGCGATAAGAAATGCGTAATTATTAAATTTTAAATTATTGTTTAATGTAATCTAAAAGTTATAAATTTGGACGTTTCGGCTATTTTTTTGGATGTAGCCATCTTCAGCAAAAAAACATTAACAAATTTCAATTTCTCTCAAAGTTTCTATCAAATTTATAACTTTTAGATTACAATAAAAATTACATTAAACAGTAATTTAAAATTTAATAATTGCGCATTTCTTACCGCGCTGTGACCACAGAATAGTCCATTATAATGTTTTTCATTTATATATATATATATATATGTATAAGGAGTTCATTATTTATTTACATTTATATTTATTGTACAAAAATAATAAAAACGATCATGCTAAGACGTTGCAAATTCATGTAATTTAACTTTGTTATTGTTTTCTATAAAACTATTATTAATCTCATTATATTTAGCATTGACTGCATTCAGCAGAAAAAGCAGCTTTGTAACTGTTGTAAAATTCTTTAATATCATTTCTTTAGTTCTTCACTAATGCCAAATTTCTTCATTTTTAGATAACTTACGCATAACTTTACGGCTCGCGGAAAGTAGCCACGGCAGTGTCTTTGCGCTTGATATACCGCCAAGACAATACCGTGTCTCCAGATCAGGCAGGTATCTCCATTGTATTCTGGGTGGTACCTTGTGGATAAAGATTATCTAGAGATGAAGAAGTTGAGCATAAATCTAAATGTATATACTAACTACATTCAAGAATTTTACTTGAAAGACTGATTTTTCTGCTGAATGCAGTCAACAAGTAAAAACATGATACTCCTATATATATATTCTCTCCCCCTTTATCAAAAAGGAAGGAGCCAATAGAAAAGATTGAATAGGAACCAACCAGCAGAGATCGTCGAGGATATCAGATGGAATTTTCTGTTCTATTTCATATTCCATTTTATATTATAATCTCTAGTCAACCAGTTTCCGTTGAAAATCTCGAGATCCTTGTTATTACTAACAATTGTATGTAAATGGCAGCAAAAAGTCCGCTATATAAGAATCAGACCTACAAATTTTGCGCGAAAAATAAAAATCAATTAATGAAATTAGTCAAAATGTAAATTTTTTGAAATATAATATGTGATCGTGGCAAATGACGATATTTAAAACAAGTAATATTGGGTGCTTGAATTAATTCTCGCTGTTGAGCGGAAGAAATCAGTATTTATGCTAAACTAGAAGAAGAAGCCTATAACGGTCGAAGCTAGATCAACGTGCTTATAATAATTGTGTGAAATTTTATATACTGCGTATGTAGTCCCCCCCGCGACGCTGATAGATTTTCAGCATTGACGCATACATATTCACTACCGCAGTAATATCACTAAGTTAAATTAACAAGCAATTTAACAATTTGATGCCTATAGCATCTTATGGATCTTAATACTATGTTGAAAGACATATATTAAAATTTAACGATTTTTATTATTAATTTAATGTAAATTAAATTAATAATAAATCAAATTCCGTGAAAAATAAGATTGCGAAGAATATAACAAGTTGGCGTTTCGTCCCGGCTTCCACTACTGGACTCATCAGTAAGGTAATGTAGTGGGAGCCTACCTTA